GCTAGCAGTGACAGGACCTGGTGTCGTAGTGTATAGGCGCCCGTCAACACTCGTCTGCGAACAGCCGATATCGTCACTACACTCCAGCGCGGGAAATGCCGGCTGTGAGCTACCATTACAAACAAGAACCTGAGGTGCGTGCATGACTTTCCTTGATGTCGTAATAATTGTATTATATAGGTGATTTTGATGAAAATTAACAGGGTAGTTCGTATGGAGGTAGTTGGTTGGTTGGTTAGTTAGTTAGTCAGTCAGTCAGTCAGTTAGTTAGTTAGTTAGTTAGTTAGTTAGTTAGTTAGTTAGTTAGTTAGTTAGTTAGTTAGTTAGTTAGCTAGTTAGTTAGTTAGTTAGTTAGTTAGTTAGTTAGTTAGTTAGTTAGTTAGTTAGTTAGTTAGTTAGTTAGTTAGTTAGTTTGATAGTCAGTTAGTAAGTGTGTATGTGCGCGAGTGTGTGTACGTGCGTGTGTGTACGTGCACGTGTGTGCGTGTATGTGCATGTATGTGTGTACTTGTATGTGAGTGCGCGTGTGTGTGTGCTTGCGTGCGTGGGCCTGAGGTAATAATATGTGCGATGCGTGCAGGTAATGTACTTATATACTGCATGCACGCGGAAGACGAAAACTGGATTGCAGTGTGCATTTATTGTCGTACTATAATTATAATAAGCACGTATCTGAAGGCAATATTGAGCGCTCATAGATCAGCCGCGGTGTTGCATTGGTATTAGAGGTTGTAAAAATTCGTTTCAATTGTGTATATTTGAACGTCAATTCATTAATAATGTAATAATTCATTAATTTACGATGAAAACGGATATTATTAGAGATTACGATCACAGAGACCGTCTCGATTTAACGTTATGAACACGTAATGAATGTACCTTCAAGGTATGTTGAATTTTAAGTTTTGACGGTTTCGTCCTCGAGGGTTTTATCGGTTTTTATATGATTTTACTAGAAAAGTTACATGCATAGGCACGCATCACGATATCGAGCTGTCAGACTGGCGATCCACTCATGAAGCGACAGTACATGCAGTGCGGGAACGCTGCGACCTTGATACTCACAAATGCTGGCGAGCATCACGCCGGGTTTAAAACAGCGAACGAGTTAAATTAGATGAATTTATGCAAGGACGAAAACAGGCGCCATCTCGCGCGCGCGTTGATCCGATCTGGCGTGTTTCACTTATTCCTACCGTAGCTTTACTAAAGCTGGCCTGACGACGAACGGAAGAGGTGAATAGAGAGGGGCACCGCGCTATATTTGCATGCGAACTGGTTTGCCGTACGTGTAAGACGCGGCGTGGAGGGCGTGGAGGGGTGGAGACGTCAGCTTACGTAACGCTGCGAGAGACGAGATAGACAGAACACACGGTCGTCGGCGGCTAAGCACAACGCTCCCACAATCTCACACCTAATACATTTTATTGCTTGTGAACCGACGCGTCCGCGATGCGCATGCGCACGAAGCAGACGCACAACGCCGCGATAAAAAACACTTAGCGAATAAAAAGGTCGCGACGGTAAAAAGAGATATTTAGATTGTCTCCGAATATAAGCGAGTGGATGGACGAGAGAAAGAGAGAGAGAGAGAGAGAGAGGGGAGGAGAGAGAGAGAGAGAGAGAGAGACGAGAGAGCAGAGAGAGAGAGAGAGCACACCAGAAGAGAGAGAGAGAGACAGAGAGAGACAGAGAGAGACAGAGAGAGAGATAGGACAGACACACAGAGAAAGAGAATAAGAGAGAGCGAGAGAGAGACAGAGAGAGAGATAGGACAGACACACAGAGAAAGAGAATAAGAGAGAGAGAGAGAGAGACAGAGAGAGAGGGGGGGGGGGAGAGCTGTATTGTTGCCGCCACTACTAACGTCAGGAACTAATCTGATGCTTATCGCAAAGTGAACAGAAATCCGTCCGTAAATATTATTGGTGTGATTTTCTCCAACTCGCGTCTTTGCAGACTCATGCTCGCTACCCGCTAGCCTCCCCCCTCGATCCTTATACCACTTACCCCCATCCATAACCAGAATCTAATGGATAGACTATTGGCAACCAAATGCCGACACACACACCCCGCACCCAGCAGTGCGAAGAGCCGCAACTTACCGCGTACAGCCAACATATTTGGAATTTCCATATACGGATTGGAGCGTCATAGCGGAGCGAATGGATAATGGGCCACAACACGCCCATATAATATTAACCTGCCCGCGCATAGGACAGCACCGCCGTGGTGAAAGGGCAATAAACCAATATACCGAGTCTTGCGTTCGTTCGCCCTCTCTGTCATCTTCGATTCAAATTAACTGATAGTATTCAAATAATCGCGCGTCACTTCATCGTCAAGGTCTTGCAAATAACGAGTAATTTATCACGAGTCATTCCGGCAATACTGCGTTCGTCATTATTTACCAACGCAAGTATTCGATGTCTATACCTATATATAGGCCCCCCTATATACAATTAACTCGTGACGATTATAGGTCTAACAGCTACACATTACGTTTAGTTTTTAACAGCACTTTTCCGCATAATTCCTATCCATCATTGCACTTTTAACCATTAGATGGTGCTATTTCTCGCCATCGTTGACAAATAGCTATACATACGATATACCTATACCTATAGGGTATGTAACTGTAGATTGATTACAATCTACTTACGTATACATCAATCATGGCGGTCGCGTTGGCGTTGCTTGTCAATTTTTTCGCCGACACCAAACCAACTTTGTCTGCGACGAAAGGAAACTGGTGTACGCTAGCCTAACGTCGAGCATGGACCTTAAAAATAGCAGTAAACCGTAAGTGGGAAAGTGATTTGGGGTTTGCCTAATTGGGCATAGAGAGAGGCAAACAGATACATAAATAAATAAACACACGCACACACAAAACACACACATACACCTGGACAAATAGATAGGTAGATAGATAGATAGAAAGATAGATAGATAGATAGTTAGATAAATAGATAGATAGATAGATAGATAGATAGATAGATAGAAAGATAGATAGATAGATAGTTAGATAAATAGATAGATAGATAGATAGATAGATAGATAGATAGATAGATAGATAGATAGATAGATAGATAGATAGATAGATAGATAGATAGATAGATAGATCGAATAGATAGATAGTTAGATAGATAGATAGATAGATAGATAGATAGATAGATAGATAGATAGATAGATAGATAGATAGATAGATAGATAGATAGATAGATATATAGATAGATAGATAGATAGATAGATAGATAGATAGATAGATCGATCGATAGATAGATAGATAGATAGATAGATAGATAGATAGATAGATAGATAGATAGATAGATATATAGATAGATAGATAGATAGATAGATAGATAGATAGATAGTATAGATAGATAGATAGATAGATAGATAGATAGATAGATAGATAGATAGATAGATAGATAGATAGATAGATAGATAGATAGATATATAGATAGGTAGATAGA